AGAAAGAAATATGTAAATATGAAATGCATGAAAGAAGAAGAAGAAGAAGAAGAAATGAAGGACGACTCCAAGTCCGTCTGTATCGTGAACAGTTCTTCAGATCTAACCCTAACCTTCCTGTTAATGGGTCAAAGGTCATGGAGCTAGGTTTGTATGCAGGCCTTCTGGGTAAAAAAAAGTCAAGCTATTGACACTCTCCATGAGGGACCCCCTCCTCGTAGCTCATTTTTTACTGGGCCGCAGTGAAAAACTGTACTTCAGTTTTACTAATTTACTTCATGACTTCATCCTTCATCCAGTCATACCCCTTTACTTTTTTCGTTCAAAGATAATCTGTCAGTGTTTCAAAACAACAGGTCAAAGGTCATTCAGACTCTGATACTGACAGAAGAAAGTTTGAAAGATTTAGAAAATCTATTGATCCTTCAAAGATGGCGCGGCACATAGAGAAAAAGAGGCTAAATAAAGTGCCATCTTCTTATACAGCACATAGAGAAAAAGAGCTGGGCTAAATAAAGTGCCATCTTCTTATACAACAGTCAGCCTGTGTAAAGTCGTTAACTTCGAACTCATGGCGGCAAAGATTCACCGGCAAAATTCTTGTTTTCCTCGATCGCACCGTCCTCGGAAATACAGTGAGACACGAAGTCAAATTCTACAACATTTGTTTGAGATAAACAAACAAACATTCAGGTTTCCTCTTTCCTCATAAAGCTACCACGACGCCGGACCACCTGTAACTCACTGCACTCCCAGCACTGACAGTTCTAAACACGCGGCTTGTGTATGTTGACTCCCTTCTGGCAAAAGCTTCCAACGGTGATTAGGCCGTCCAAAAAAAAAAAAAATAAAAAAAAACAACAAGACCAAACAGGGGAAAGTTAAAGTATTAACAGAAAGGTCAGCGCCGCGTAAACGCCTTCACCTCACTCAGCCGAACGGCTGGCCTGCTCCAAGGTGAGTTCTAATGACCTCTGTGACATGAGTATTAACAGAAAGGTCAGCGCCGCGTAAACGCCTTCACCTCACTCAGCCGAACGGCCTGCTCCAAGGTGAGTGAGTTCTAATGACCTCTGTGACATGACAGATGGGTGTGTGTGTCGGGGGGTGGGGGGGAGAAAGTGAGGGCCATTGCATGTGATTGAGCAAGGCAGCACAAACAGTGGGTTTGAGCTCTGTCCTTGGACTCACAGACAGGGGGAGTCGATCTGTGAAGCTTCTGCTGATCAGCTGCTCCTTCTCCACACTACGAGGAGAAGAGGAGAAGAGGAGAAGACCTCTCCCGTTCTCTGCCTCTCTCCCACCCGGCTAAACCTCGCCTTAACAAAACAGGCCTCACTCTGAACAAATGACTGTGGCAGTAATAAAGCAGTGGTACACGGGGGCTCCTCCCCTACAACGCAGTCAAGTCTGAACTCATAACAACATCCGAAAGGTCTGACTTACGCCTGGGAGCCATAACGAAGGGCAAAAAGTTCCACAAAAATACAACACACACAAAAGAAAGCGAATGCAGCGCCATCTAATGTACGGCGTACAACAGGCGTACGTGACAACACATCCATCCACTCTGCTCAACAACTAGTTCCGGTTCTTGTTTTAAGGCCGGAGACGGAGACGGAGACGTAACCACGAATCTCCGTAGGTGGAGGACGTCGTAAACCGAGGACTTCATGTACTGAAGTTTTTAAAGTGTACAGCTTCACAAAACCTTGGAGCTCTGCGCCATATTTCATCCGACAGACCAAACAGATTAGCAGTCCGTCACTGAGCTTTCGTTTTCTTTTAGTTACACCTCGGTCTGTGACCTTTGACTGACCTGAAAACCAACAACCAGAACATATCATTTAATGACTGGTCACCATTGTATGACCAGTGCTGTGATTGGTTGGTAATAACCTGGACGTGTTATTGCACTGATGGAACTGTAGATGGCAGATATGGGAACATCGGCGTCCCGTGTGGATGAATGAAACTGGTGTGTGAACTGACACAGTGTGATGAAGAAGATGAAGATCTGGAATCTGTGAATGAATGAATGCAGGAATTCATGAGCGTCAAATTGACGTGACAGTCTGGAACGACACGCTGGATGATCGTATTGACGACAAACGCTGATCAACCAGGGCCAATCACCTCTTCCCCATCACTGATCTGTGTTTAACAGGTGAACACGTCGTTCCATTTCACTCAGAAAACACTTGTTTTAAATGGAGTCAGCCTTTAGACCAGGCGTGGACAAACCTTGGACTCGCGGGCCACAATTGGTCCTAACATTGAACATGGGGGGGGGGGGAGTCCGGGGTCAGGTGCAGAGAGATGGAGCGTTTGTGTGAACTAAGAAAAATGTCAAAATGCTAAAATGCTTTTATCATTTTTCTACGCCATCTATTGGGGAAACATGAGTATTGCAGAGAAAAGGCAGAAATATGATGATAATATAGAATAATTATATAATATGGGAACGTTTGGCAGACCGGATTAAAAATCTGAACGGGCCGCATCCGGCCCCCGGGTCTTAGTTTGGACATGCCTGCTTTAGATCATGTGTCCTTATGTCTTCTTGGTGTGTGTTGGTGATTCTGTGCAGCCTTATCTCCGTGTTATCAAGTTTATGTAATGATGCTTCACACCCTACGCCCACTCCCAAGTGCCAATCTGGTGTGTGTGTGTGTGTGTGTGTGTGTGTGTGTCCCGCAGGGCGCAGCAGTTGACAGTAAACAGGTACGTGGAGATGTCAGACAGACAGAGCTACAGATGGACACACAGGCAAAACAGAAAGAACTTCACTTAATGACACCAGCTCTGTGTCAGTCTGCTGTTCCAGGCTCCTCCCTCCAGGGGCGCTCTTCGTAGCATCTGTTCATGTCTCTCCTGGTTGACTCCACTTAGGATTAAAACAGCATCAATTCATCATCCGTCCTGGGGGGGCAGATTATTTGGAATATTTTTGACTTCCTCAATAAAAGACGTTGTCTTTTATTGAGGAAGTCCTAAAACATGTCCCACTTGATTGTCACCAGTGACTTCTCAGGACTGTGTTTTAGTAGAAACAAGGTTCACGCGCTCATTACTCACCACTGATGGTCTTATGTCTATGTCACCCGGTGGAGAACAGAGGTAGAGCGCCCTCACACTGTCAGATAGATGAGTGCGCGGGACGTCATAAATATTTGTAAAAAGAAAGATGCTGACTACTGTTATCAAAATATCTAGTGGTAAATAAATATGGACACAGTAGATGACTAGGTCAGCCATCCCCTGCTGGCCAGCATTGGTAATGCAAGTTAAACATAATTTCAGGGTGGTTTCAGAGTAAAATCAACAGAAGACATTACATTTATAAAATGTAATAAATACATTTGGATTTACATGTAATTCAAAATTACAGTAGCGGTAATGACACCTGCCTTACATGCAGAAGGTCCTGGGTTCGAGCCCCAGGGAAACTGTACTTAATCCTCTTCATGTGAGTCGCTCTGGTTAAAAGCAACTGCTGCATGCATGCTTTTAAATGTAGGTTTTTAAATTTTCACCAAAAATATTTTTTCCCATGTAGTTTTTTTTTTTTTTTTTTTTGTTAATTGAAACAAACAATCTATAAAAATAACTCCCTATCCTTAAAATTCTGTGAAAAAATGCTGTGTCCACTCCAAAACGTGTTCACTAATTATTCAGTTTTGGCTAGAAAATCTGATGTTTGCTCTGATAACAAGTCGTTAAAGCTGTTTATGTGTTTTTTAAATCACAATCGTAACATCTTTCTACGAAGTGTTGGTCTTCTGACTTCCCCGTAAAAATCAACATGAGTTTCTTCCTCATTATTTGACTTCCATAACCACGTGGCCACGTCCACGGCTGATGAACTCACAGGTGTGACTGACACTGTGCTCCGGTGACGTACGCAGAAAAACGATAGGCAATCTTACTGGACAGTAAATGGTGTTTTTCTGGCTGTCTGGCCGGCCTGTTAGCAGTTAGTGGCTAACCCTGTTTATATATACTGGATGCCAGTGTGAGCTGGCTTCAGCTCTCTCCCTGTACAAAACAGTGTAAACCACCAGGGCATGGGCTGTGGTTTGCTCTGGTCCGTGTTTTCCCCCAAGGGGAAGTGGGCTAGCAGTCTGATGTACACTCTGATGTCTTCTTGTTTGCGGAGGTTAACTCGACATAATTTGACTGCTTTCGCAGTGTGACTGTCGCTGCTGATTTATGGATGGTTAGGAATATTCTAGAAGATTTGAAGTTCCAGAAACCACTATGAAAACAACGGCTCATCGCATACTTTACCTTTATGAATGAAAAAAACTACTTTTGTTTTCATTCCTTTAACAACATCGGCGCGAAAAAAATGTAAAATTTTTAAAAAATAATATATATATATATACACAACATCGGCGCGTAAAAAATGTAAAATTAAAAAAAATATAATATATATATATATCTATAAAGCCAGACCACATTCTCTGTTGATGAAGCATTCCTACGCAGCCTACCAAAAGGCATAGTTTGATGATGATGTCACACAGGAAAAGCCAATGGTTGTGGTTGTGAGTACTTGCGAGTATAGTCGTAGTAAATCAATTTCAACACGTCTTAACATTTCATTTCCTCGTTTCCTCTCTGCTAAAAAACACAAACCTGTGCCTGTACTTTCAGTCATGCTGTGATGCAGAAGGTTGTGGGTTCAAATCCCTTCAATGAGAACCTCCTTTGCTCCACAAATAATTATTTGTTGACTAGAGCATTCATTTAATTTAATTTATTTAACATTTAGTTTTCATGCCAATGTGTCCCTGGGCAGAACATTTGCCCCTCACTACCTGAAAATATTCACCCACTCCTCCTGAATCTATTTTAATATTAGTTTTGTTGTGAAGGTCCCACAACGATGGCTAGAGAAAACCGTTCTCCAGACCTTTGTCATATTTCTGTGCATTAAGAGCAGACTTCCTCTTCCACCTCCTTCTGCCGACCGGCTGAGGAGGAGGAGGAGGTGGAGGAGGTGGTGGTGAACTCACTAACCGTTGCCCTTTTTTAGGTGCCTTTCTGACTCAGACCAGGAATCCATTGTTGGCCTTGTGTTCTCTAACATCTTCTTTGTGAAACCTCGTTTTGTTTTTTTGTTTTTTTCAGTCTGTACCAAGTCACTTCTGGTGTTTTACTGACGTCTGTGGTTTAATTTCTGTGTCTCTGTCCCATTAAGAAGCCGAGACGTCGTTTCAGACTGTTGAGTGTTGTGACTGTTCAGAGGGCAACAGCTCTTGGCTTTGTCCCAAAATAATCTGACAAAAAAAAAAAAAAACTGCATGAAAGTCCAGAGACACCACCGCGCTGATTTGTTTGTGCAACAGTTGTGGAAGAGAATTTGACTTTAAGGCAGGTGTTGAAGAGAAACTAAGTGGCTGAGGGTTCCTGTAGCGTTTCTGCCTCAGTTCATCTCCTCGGCTCAGCTTGAGACTCTAACCAAGAGAGGGGCACGAAATAGTTTTCCAACTCTTCTCTTTTTTTTTTTTTTTTTTTTTTTTCCTTTCCTTTTTTTTACCCTCCCTCCCTCGCTCTCCCCAAACAACCCCTTCGAGTTTCTTTGCCCCGGTCCCTTTATACCAATAACCTCTCTAACACAACTAAAAATTCATTTTGTCTGACCTAAATCAGAGGGTGTCTGCGCCATGGGCTTATTACACAGTGCGCTTAAACTTGTGTTGTGGAGGAGGATGGGGTATTATTATCTTCCAGCTACCCACCCTGCTATAAAAACTAGTGGTGCGACATCTCCACAGCGCAGTGCTGCTGCCCTCCCTCCCTTCCTCTTACTCCCTCGCTCGTCCTACATGAGCCACACACAACAGTGAGGCTGACTCTAAACTCCACAGCAGCCGCGCCGCCTGATTCACAGAGAGAGAGAGAGACCCAAGAATCACACGCTGCTCTGCTGCTCTTACGTCTGCTCTTCTGGATATTCCTCACTGGGCTTCTCTCTTTTATTGTTCTTGTGAATGGGCAACAGTGAGGAGCATGTGAATGGCTGGAGTGCCCAGCTGACTGACTGACTGACTGACAGACAGACAGACAGACAGACAGGAGACCAGAGAGAGAGAGAGAGACACTTGTAAGTCAATTAAAGAGGGCAATGCCGAGAGGTCAAGCGAGGAGCCACGGAGACTCCCAGTAGTCTGGGAATTAAAGGACGCCCGAGGAGAGAAGAAGAAGAAGAAGAAGAAGAAGAAGAAGAAGAAAGTGAAGGTACGGTAGGTGAGAGGCTGCTGAGGTCTGAGTGAGGCTGACGAGCTGATGAAGATCAGATGAATGTACGTGCGTGTGATAGACTTTGAGGGAGTGCACGGTGTTAACAACCGCTGAGTTCCTGTGCATGTTGTAACCTTCACATCATAAAGGCCTGACGAGGTGCAAACACGCCAGTAAAGTCACTTAATGACCGGTGTAATTATTTAAATATTGTGCTCTGGAAATAACCCCAGTGTTTACGGCACGGCGGCGTGTCGTTGCAGCGTCGAACTTTTTTTTTTTGCGGACTTAAGTATGTGTTTTGTCTCCAGCTGTAATTACATATTTCACTTTTAGATATTACGCGTGAAAAAAATATACGGCGTGTAAAGGACATCCTCCTTTAACTCCAAGGTAAACAATCAGGTGACGCAGTCGCCCCCGAAGGAGGTGTTTGGGAAAATAAAAACATGTTATGGATTTTAGGCTGAGCTGTAAATTACTGTTTACGAACAGAACAGACCTCTGACCTCATCTCCTCGCAAAACGAAAACGCAAAGACCCGTAATATCCTCAGGGCCGTCTGCGAGCTGTTGTTGAAAAGTTGGCTTCATATATCGTCATAAAAGACGTTTGTTCACCTGGTGGGTGGAGGACTCCTTCAGGGACAGGCAGCGGTCGGAGGTTCGACGCAGTTATCGCCAGGGAAACGCATGTGTGTCGGAGTCGAAGTGTAGCGTGAAAGGAAACAGAAAGCAGCGTTTTTCTCGATCACTCAGTTCAATCACTTGTTTACTCGTTGTTACCAAATATAACAGTTTTTATTTATAAAAGTATTTTTTTACATTTATTTTACGTCGACATGGTTTCTGAAAAAATGTCCAAAACAAAAACAAAAACGATGAAAAGTCGATACGAATACTGTAGGTACATCATGTACTCATTGTGTGCTCTTGTAGAGAGAGAAGATGAGATTTAAAAAATGTTCATTCTTGACTTGTTCAGAAACACAAATGTTTTATAATTTAATTTGAACTGAACTGAATTTCTTTTCTTCTGTTTCATCTGGGGTTTTAACAGATTTAGTTTCTGTTTGTTCTTCGTCCACACGTCATTTTTATAATGACTGTAACTGTATGAAGTTACTAACAACTAATCTTTAGCATCATAAACCTCAAACTTTTGTTTACTTTGGGCTGAGGGAGATAATGGTCTGTAGCTGTGGGCCACCCTAAAGGCTCAGGAGGTGACACTTGTTGAAAAAAAAAAAAAAAGGAAGGAAGGAAATGTCTTTGAGTAACAGAGCGAGTCAAGCTGGCCCCCAGGTCTGCTGAAACACCACGACATCATGTCATTTTATATTCAAATATACAACTGGGGTATGGATATGATTTGATGATTTACTGAGTGAGAAAATTATTTATAATTATTTGTATTTTCCAAAATTTGATTAATTAGTAAAAAAAGCCATGAAATATTTGGAATTTTTCTTCTTATCTCTAATGTTATGTTTACTATATATTTTCTCATTATATTTTGTCTTGTCTCATAAACTTGTAAATTTTATATCATAGTCATTTTACACAACAACAAGTGATATTTTATGTAATTTGCTGTGTTCCATTCTATTTTATTCTAATCTATCTTCCTTCTTTGATTAAAATTCGAGTCAAATCCAAATCAATTTAGAAGAGAAAAAAAACCCAACTGATTCTAATCTCATCTAATTTGAGGTTAATTTGAAAGTTGAAAAAAATCCAATTCGAAAAAAAATTGGATTGGTTTAAAGAAAGCAGAAATAAAGCAGTGATTTAACAGCAGCAAAAATCAAGAGACAACAAGACGTTAAGACCGAAATAATGACAGGAATACATTCAATATAAAAACTATATGTAAAATATAATAAATACAATATAATATGATATAAAATAAAACCTTAAATCTTGTGGTCTGAAGTGTCACCATTTTTTGCCTCCAAACTCTGTGAAATACACATTAAAACTTTCCAGCCGATGTTCAAGTCTTTAGCCAAAGTTGTGCACTTAAACGCTTCCCCGGTTTTTTTTTTTTTTTTTTCGCCCCAACATTTCATCATTATCTTCAAGCCGGCGCCCCGTGTGCTGTAAGTGGCTGTACATTTTACACCGTTTTGACAGCAATTAAGACAATACTTAAAACCCCCGCTGTGTATGGGCCGCAGACGTGTGTGTGTGTGTGTGACACTCGAGTGCAGCCACCGAGCAAGAGTTTCCTCAGCAAACAGGTGCAGCGCCGTGTCACTGCTGATAATGGACTACCTCACACACCCGCTCCGATGGACGGCTCACCTCATAAGGGCCTGAGTTTTGTCCGTCAATACCATAAATTACGGCCGCTGCCATTGTCCGGCCGTGACAGCTGTTTAGCAGGTGTTTGCTACGGGCAGTCGGTGACGGGGGGGGGGTGAACTTTGGCTGCTGGTGATTTAGCATGTGGGTCAGGTGGATGCAGCGGCCCGACAGGGATAAACTAGGCTGCGGGTGTCGCAGCTTAGAGGCCAAATGAGTGTCTGCCCGTGACAAGGGCTGAGATGGACATTAGCTGCTGATTTGTGGTCAGAGCGGTCAGGGCTGGGAGGCCAGTTAGTCAGCCTGCTGTGGGCATAATGATGATACAGCTGCAGGAGCGGGAGGAAGGGAGGGGGGGGTGAGAACAAGCGGAGGATGATTAGGAGGTGGAGGTGGAGGAGGAGGAGGTGGAGGTGGTGGTGGTGGTGGTGGTCATACGCCCAGGAATCTGATGAAGTTCCTGGGAGGAAAAGACAACAAAGGACGGAGGTGACACATAGTTTGAGGTGGGAGTGTTGGAGTCCGACGTGTTGATGACTAAGTGAAAGGAGACGTAGAAAGAACAGGAGGGAGAGGCGGCCATGTCTGTTCTGTCATCGTCAGTGGGTCTAATTTATAAAACAATCCTTGTCTCGGCCACTGGAACTGTACAGGTTTGGTCTCAGAAACCTTCGAAATGAATTCACTTTGAATTTTTCAAGTCAAGGCTCATACTACGGAAAGTAGAAAACATATGGAATTATACGATTCATTAAAATATAATTTCATTATTTACATCATGTTTTACCTGAATGAATGTTTAAATTCCACAGGGAAACAAAACCTTCTCAACAAATTGTGACTTATACAAATTTCTGTAAATTTTATGTTATTAAGAAGTGAAATCTAAGAATGTTCTACTTCAACTTTGGCGCTCAAATGAATCAAAAATAATAAATCTAGAATTTAAAAATAATAATATTTTACATGTTTAAATACGTTGTTTTTAAACAACGTAGCCGATGCTAAAACATTTCATTTTATTTGGGGTTTTTTTTTGCGCATCTTTCGACTGATGCTACACTTACACGCCGCCTGTTCATAACGATGCTGTCTGAGTCTGACCACAAGTAACCAGGCAAAAAATGTCTGTTTTAAACTCTTGTTAAAAAAAAAAAAAAAATTAAAAGTGCCACTGACTGAATGTACAGACAGGTGAAAAAACATTTAACTCTCTTAAAAAAAAAAAAAAAAAAAAAAGGAAAAAAAAAGATGTGAAACCAAGTGAGTAAAACAGTAATTATCAAAGCCCTTTCACAAGACGTCCCCACCCTGGCAGCTCTGATGGGTGGGTGGTGTGTGTGTGTGTGTGTGTGTGTGTGTGTGTGTGTAAAGGGTTAAGGCTGTTTGGCTGATGAAATGTCGCTCCAGGACCTTGTGGTGGGAAAGCTGTGCCCTCCTCCCCTCCCTGTCTATGTGGCACATCCTCCTTAGATCCTCTCCACATTGTAATTAAGGGCTGGCCGCGAAGAACTAGCGTCAGGCAAACAGTGGGAATGAAGGGGAGTGGTGTTCACTGGGCACCAGGCGAGCAAACAGCAACAGCAGCACGTGGCCCATAGAGTTGTACAGGAGTGGGACGGACGAACGGACGGATGGATGGACGGATGGATGGATGGATGGAT